TAATTGAGGAGGAAAAGGTATTTATGATAAAGAAATACCTGTTAAGTATCTCTGGCTGTCTGCTGGGGTGTACTTAGGTAAGAAATTTTGTTCGATCCATGTAAACCAGGTATTCTATGATCATATCATAAACAGAGAAACTTTTCCACTGCCTCCCAGCATCTAAGTAACTTACACAGCAAGGGAACAGAAATAAGAGTTCCCCTTTCCTGGGACAGACTGAGAGAAAACACCCAAGGTAGCGACACCATGGTTATGTGACTTAAACTGCACCTGAGTGGGCAGGAGGCAAGATGGAGATGAAGGGGCCAGGATAGGGTCTGTGCGCTGAGAAGGGACCAGGACACGCATCAGAGTGTGGGATCCAGCAAGCAATGAGCATCTCTTACCTATAGGACAGACTCCAAACACTTCATGTGGTCCTTAAGTCTCCAGCTTCCTGGGGTTGTGGGGTGCATCACGCGATAAAGCACGGGTGGTAAGCCTAGCAAATACTGAACATACTGTGCATGGTGTCTCCCGGCCCCACCCCTACACATCTGTAGCACTGGGCCCTTGACCACTTCTCCCTCCCAGAGCCTTAGTTGCCGTTCTGAGATTCCAGGATCCTGGGATTCACCTCACTTGAGAAACAGACAGAAAGGAAGGTCAGAAAAGATGAAACTTACATGAGTGGAAACATCCAAAGAACTGCAGTGACCAGAGTTGGTTTCCTCCTAAAAGAGCCACAGCCTGTCGAGGAGCCAAAGCTTGGAAGTCAGCGAAGACAGAGAAGAGGGGAGGCAGGAAGGACAGACACGGTGAAGCAGCTGTGTTTTCACAGGAAACAGGGTTTCCCTCAGGTCTCGCAGCAGCTGTGAAATGCCACAGTGCACTCATCTTGGACTGACTCTTACGTTCTTTACCAGGGACACCTCAGATCTGCTTGCTACACTCACTCATGACTCCGCAGTTAAGTTATCGTCACCTCTTGACAACCCATGACCCTCAGTTAACCCCACCTCCGAACGGCGTCCAAAGCAGAAGTGACCCCCCACTTCCCTGATACCCTCTTCCTCTTCCTCCATCCTTCAGCTGCAACCAAACCTTACAAAAGACGCTCATCTTCTCGCTTTATCAAACCTCACTCCAGCCTCCTCTGGACTCCCTCCCTCATGGCACCAGCACAATAAATCTGGTTGCTTCAGTTAACTGAACTCGCCAAAATACAGACGGGTCCCTGGTAGTTCGGCTGAGTCAGTGTTAACACTCCAGTGCTCGTGAACAGTTCCCCTCAAACTGATGTCTGGGGTCTTGGTTTGGTTTCCTTGACAACAGCACCCAACATGTGACTTCAAGGAAAAGGAATGACACTTTTTTCCAGTGACCAACTGGGCCATTTTAGAGGTACTTTCACTGGAACCTTTTTGGAGTTGTTGGTTATGTTGGTCTTTGTGTAGTTCTGCAGGTCTTTTTGACTTCATCAAAAGGGAAAAAAATAAAAAATAAAAACCATAAAAATAAATGAGCAGCCTTCATATGGCAGCTGGGAGGCCTGTATTGTGAGAAAACGGATCAAGCCAAGTTCCTTCACTCAGTGGATTCTCACTGAGCCCTTTTCACGGGCCAGAGCCTCTGCTGGATGTTGGGTACCAGGTCAACGCCCTGCTGTCCTTGTTTGCTGGAAGCCTGCGAATAAGTTGCAGTAATATCCAGCACTATTATTCCTAGGACTGCTCGTCAAGCTACAGTTTCTCAAGCATCTACTGTGCCCAGAACCATGCTGACCCCTTCACAGCAGAGCTTCACAAACCGCAAAGAGCTAGAGAGGCCCCTGGCATCTGGTTAACCATGCAGGCTGTGCTTGGGGCCTGAGAATTCTATTTCTAATGAGCTCCCAGGAAGGCAGATGTGGCTGGTCTGGGAACCACAGTGACATGAGGCATCTTTACACACCTGCCTCTGTGGTCGGTCCACAAGCATATTCTGTGGAGTGATGACCTGGTCCCAAGCGGGAGTTGTAATTGCTGCCCTTCTGTATCTAAATACTGGGTTTGGGGAAAGCCTCACATGGTACTTCACAGTGCACAGTTTACTTTCCATGTTTGACATAATTTATGGTTTCCTTTGCTACAGCCCATTCACCTTCTGACTCTGCAAGATGAGCCTTCTCCTCCCTCCTCTCTCACCTCTGTTCTCTCCTGCTCATCCCTGTCAGCCAAGGGCTAAGATTGATTGATTGATTGATTGATTGATTGATTGATTTTAAGGGCTGGATTCATGCAATTGTGGGGGCTGGAAAGCCCAAAATCTGCAGGGCAGGCCAGCATTCAAGGGACAAGACCAGGGGAACAGGTGATGTTGCAGCTCAAGATAGAAGGGAGTTTGCCAGCAGAATTCCTTCTTGGGGCTGGGGTTGGGAGGAGGCAACGTGTGTGTGTGTGTGTGTGTGTGTGTGTGAGAGAGAGAAATATCACTCTTTACTCTTAAGGCCTTCGACTGATTAGACGAGGCCCACCCACCTTATGGCGCATAATCTGCTTTTACTCAAAGTCTACTAATTTAAATGTTAATCTCGTCTGAAAAATACCTTCACAGCAAATCTAGACTAGTGTTTGATCAAAAATCTGGGCACCCTGACCTTGCCAAGTTGACACTGTCGACTGAAAAAATATGCACCACCTCAAAGTTGAGAGGTTTTAATTTGGCGGATTTTCTGAGGACTTGAGCCTGGGAGGCAGCCTCTCAGATCACTCTAAGAGACTGCTCTGAACAGGCATGGGAGCAGTCAGGATATATATGAGTTTTTTGCAACAAAGGCCAGGTAGCCAGAATATCAAAAGATTACCATTGATTAAAGAAAACCAGATATCCCAAGTTAAGGAATTTAGTGCTTTTCTATGTATGAGAAGGTGCAAAAATCTGGGTTCATTGAAATCATTATTCCTTTGACAAGCCCCTAGCTATCTAGGGCCAATGTCCTGTCCTTTTATATCCTGAGTCCCCTCAGGGGGCACTGTTGGGGGTGGCAGCAGAGGCTGGCGGCCTGCTTGTCTGCACCCTGAGCTCCCTCTGCTCACCGTCAGGGGTGGTGGTAGTGGCTGATGACTTGATGGCTGTAGCATCCTCTGTTTACTGACATAGCTGACAATATTTGTCATTCATAACGCATAAAATGAACCACCCATCCTTCTATTTATTTTGCAGGAGTGTCTGAGCATTCGAACTTCCACACCCCTGCTCCCTGTCAGGGTCAGGGCCTCGGCTCCAGCCTGACCTCTCCCTCCTTTAAGGCACACACTATAATTCTCCCATCTTTAAGGTGGGACCCGTGTTCCCTCAGCCACTGCCACTTTTTTCTGCATTTACCCCCCACTGAAGAGGAGGTAATTAGGTTTCTTCATTGATTTCTGCTTGGAAGAGGTACCAGGAATTGAACCCGGGACCTCTTGGGTGCTAGGCATGCGCTTTACCACTTGAGCTATACCCTGCCCCCAACTGTCCCTCTTTCTTGAAACACATTTGCCTGTCTGGGTTTCCAAGGCTCAGCACTGCCCAGATTTCTCTCCACCTCACAGTGGCTGCTCCTTCTCTTCCTGCCTCCTCTCCTTCCTGCCTCCTGCCTCTCTCCTCCATCCCCACTTTCTCCTTCCCCTTCTCCTCCAGATTTCCCTCCTCTCTTCCCAGTCTCCAAAGTTGGCATGGCAGGGCCACCCTCTCCAA